CAACCAAATATCATTATTTTTGTTATTATAATTAATTACTGTTCTGTGTTGATTTGATCAGAAATTGTTGATATCAGTTTAGTAAATTTAAGATTTTTCTAGCATTGATTTAGTATTTACGTGAAATTAATGTATTATCACTCAACTACATATCGTACCGAAACGTGGAGCTAGATTTGAGAATAAATTAATTAGATTTAATTATAATTTTAATTAGCAGTACTAACTTGGATTAATTAATCTTAATTAGCTATAAATAACAATTTTTTGAAATTTTTTAAGTTTTATCGTGTTTCTAAACACTTGTTGTTGTTAAATAATGATTAAAATCATGTTTTCTTTTATTAAACAAACATTTTATTATTTTTGTATTATAATTTTGCAGAACATTGTGTATGCCAGGTATTAGAAGCTATCAACTAGGCAACCACTGAAGATCATTGTTATGATTAAACAAGGCATTTCTTGCAGAGATATTGGTGAGCAAATGAAAATTGGACTGTCAACTGTTACTAAAACAGCCAGAAAAGAGAAAGACACCGGTACTGTGGCAGATTTAGAGCGTGTTAGACGACCTCGTAAAACTACCGCAAAGCATGATCGGTTTTTGGTTCAGGCGAGTTTGTCCAATCGTTTCGCCACAGCTTCAGATCTGGCAACAAAGACAGTTAGAAAACGTCTGCAGCAAGCTGGAGAATTGCTGCGAAGAAGCCTTTATTGTGACCTGATAACATTGCGAAAAGAAGAGGATTTGTGAAGATGCACAAAACTGGACTGTCGCACAATGGAATAAAGTGTTATGGAGTGATGAAATTACCTTTACTGATTTCTGTGGAGCTAAAAGAACTTATGTGAGGAGAAGAGTTGTTGAACAATTTAGTCCACTGAGTGTAGCTCCCACAGTAAAGCATTGAGGAGGCTCTCTTATGGTATGGGGTTGCGTGTCAAGATCAGGTGTACGGCACGGTAAACCAGGATAAATGTTTGGAAATATTAAAAACACAAATGAAACCATCAGCAAACAAACTATTTGGTAAAACAAACTATTTTTTTTTCAACAGGACAATGCTCCTTGCCACAAAGCTAAGAAAGTAATGGAATATCTTAAACGTGCTTGTACCAATGCTATTGAATGGCTTCCACAAAGTTTTGACCTGAACCCCATTGGAAATTTGTAGGAGGAGCTCTTCAGAAAGGTACAGAAAAACAAACCCAGCAATCTGGGTAATTTGTGGCAACATTTGAAAGCTGCATGGTTAGCAATCTCTGTTGACATCATCCAAAAGCTGGTACAGTCCATACCAAGACGTGTACAGTTTTCATACTCGATGCGCATAGAGGGCATACAAAATACTAGTCTTTTAGTCAGAATTTCTTATGTTTTATTAGTAGCGCTTATTACTGACAATGCAGAGCCGTTTGTATTTCAATGTGGTGCTGTTTTATTTTATATTGCGCCAAAAATGAATAAAATTATCTTGTTATATATATATATATAATATATATATATATATATATATATATATATATATATATATATATATATATATATATATATATATATATATATATATATATATATATATATATATATATATATATATATATATATATATATATATATATATATATATATAAGGGGTATGACAATTTTGCAACCCTGCATTTCCATACTCATATATTAGTGGAATTTTTATGCAAAAATCAAGAAAATATCAAACATTTATACTATATCTCAAAAAAAGTTACTCTCATTTAAAAAAAAGATTTATGGGATAAAAGAAAATGTAATTTTGCGACACATGTTCTAGTACTTTACGGAAAACCAATAAAACATGAAATAATTTTACATATCCTGTACCAATAAAACATGACTGAAACCAATAAATCATGAAATAATTTTACATATCCATAACCAATAAAACATAAAATAATTTTACATATCCTGCAGATTTTGTTAATCTATTAGTGCCTTTATGTCATAGCATAGAAAAACTTAATATTAAATACGTATTTGACAATAAGTATTTAATGTTAAGTTTTTCTATGCTATGACATAAAGGCACTAAATCTTGCATCACTTTTACCGCACATTCTGCACTTGTAATTGACCGTTGAGTTAAAATCGGTATTAACTCTTCGGACTAAAATATATTGAACGACTTTAATGCTTTTATATGCTCATTGTATGCTTCTAATAGATTAACAAAATCTGCAGGATTGAGGTAGTGATCACCATTTCATATATCACCCCATGAGCCACAGTAAAGTCGCATGCTGCTTGAGCAGATTTTATCATTTCTTGATAGTCTGGTATTAGAATGTAAACAAGTAGAAAAAAATTGCTCTTGAGTTCCATCTTGCATTGCTTAAAGCAGGAAGTGATTTGCACTTTTGCTTAAGTGATTCACATTTAGAATGGTAGATGTGGTTTTAAACTTTCTATAACAGGCTATTAAGTGATGCAGAAAATCCATGTCATCTCGATAGCGCTTCCGATTCACTTTTGTCAAATGATTTTTAGTATTCTTAAATAATAACATCAGGTTCTCGCACTCTTGCAGTAATCTTTTCAAAAAAGGGTTATGAAGAATTGGTGATAATGTTAATCCTTCAAAAAGATCATTCATGACATGTTTTAAAAGCGTATCTAGAATATGGTGTTAGCATCCAATAAAAGTAGGCTTTCTAGTCCAATGGTTTTGAAATGTTTCTGTAACAATGTTACAAGACCAATTCTCATCCTGTATTTGAAGATGTTTTGTCAGATACAATCCTTGTTAATCGTGGCCACAGCTCATGTTCATCTAACACAAGTTTTATCCCATTAAATATTGTTTTATCTTTTCTAATCATCAAAGTACAAAGACCACTTTTCATTTTTTATATTCTCCATATAATTTTCTTTTAACTTTTCTCTTACTTTCATAACACCCTTGAAGAAACCACTTTGAGTTGGAAAAGGAATTGAAATTCCACCTTTTGATAGAGTTTTGCAGACTTTGTTTGAAAAAACATGTTTTTTCGGTACTAATCTTCGCAGAAATCACTTAATTTACAGCTAATTTTGTTGATTGTCTTTAAAATGATCTTTAGCTTTAGTATCATTGCTGGAACACTGCTCTTCAGTTTCTGAATGATTTCCTTCACTAGCTGATTCAACGAAATCTAGGTCTTGGAGGATGGACGTTTGTTTCTTTATCCACACAAGTTTTCATGGATGAATACCTTCAGTATCTTTAATTGTGGTACGATACCCAGCTCTTCCATGCGTTGACATTTGCAGACCATAAAGTTCTTTATCTTCCTGACACAACCATTCATCTTTCTCATCAGTTGAACAATTAAGTAAAATTTTGAGTTCCGGTTTTTCAAGTATCTTTATCAAGTTTTTTCAATATTTTTTTTTCTGCTGCCGATGTCCCTTGTAGAATTGGAATATTCAGCTTTCTCCATAGTAGTTTAGTTTCTTTAGCCACAATTGCAACTTTCTGCTTTCTGCTTTTCTCATTTGATGACAAACTTTTAAATCGATCAATGATATGCTGTTCTGCTGGTATCTTATTTCATTTCACCAATACTTTTAACAACAGTAGTACATCTTCTTAAAGTCTTAGCTATTTCAAACCTCGCTAAATTTGATTGCCAAACTTTCTTGTTGTGATGTTCTGAAGCGAGAACATTTTTGGCCGTTTTTGAATGTCTATTACATAATTTATAACTAATAAAGATAGGAAATACTATTTTTAGCTTGGAGGGGGTAGGGGTGGGGGTGGGGAGGTGGGGTGATCTTTGTCAACAATTAACATAAAAAACTTAAATTTTCTGTTTATAAATATATTTTCTCCACTCATGTGACATGGAGAACTAAAAAATATATATATATATATATATATATATATATATATATATATATATATATATACATATATACATATATACATATATACATATATATATATATATATATATATATATATATATATATATATATATATATATATATATATATATATATATATATATATATATATATATATATATATATATACATATATACATATATACATATATACATATATACATATATACATATATATATATATATATATATATATATATATATATATATATATATATATATATATATATATATATATATATATATATATATATATATATATATATATATATATATATATATATATATATATATATATATATATATATATATATATATATATATATATATATATATATATATATATATATATATATATATATATATATATATATATATATATATATATATATATATATATATATATATATATATATATATATATATATATATATATATATATATATATATATATATATATATATACACACACATTCATCTATATAAAAAATTCAAAATATACCCTTTTTTTTTTTTTATGTTAAAAAAAGTGAAATTTTTTTTTATAATTTTAAAGTGCATTATTGGAACCAAATGAATTGTGGAATGAAAATGAGGCGTAATGTAGTCATAAATCTAAAACACACATTTGTGAATGAATAATTTATTAACAATAGTGTATTTAATTTGAACATATTTACAATTGAATTTTAAACCATTAAAAAAAGAGAAACATTCATTTAAATAAATTCTTTTTAAAACATTTACATAAATTTACATAAATTCTCTGATTTTACAAAACAAATTTTCCGTATATATATATATATATATATATATATATATATATATATATATATATATATATATATATATATATATATATATAAACAATTTTCAAACTAAAATTCTGAGGCGCCACTACATAATAACAATATATAAATTCCAATTTTTTTTTTAAAACTTTTTTTTTATAAAATAATTATAAAAAAAATGCGCTAAACAAAAACATTTTATTTTAAAAGTAGATACTTGAATGTTAAATAAATTAAAAATGAAAAATTAAAAAACATTTTGTTGCCGGTTCATTTTTAACTGTTAAAAGAAATGGCACCGCTGAGGTTATAAAAATTTATTTCGTCTAAGAGGTTTGTCAAAATTAAAAATATAGTGTAAAAAAGTAATTTTTATATACGGAAGAACTGAAATCATTCCGTTAGTTTATGCATACTCCTGATCCTATCTGAGTAAACTCAACAAAATTTAGATTAAGATTTCTGGTATTTTTTTTTATTATTATTAATTAAAAATAAACTAATATGAAATTACTTAAGTGAATTTCTTCAATAAATAAAAAAATTTTATACCAAACTTTGTAACTTATTAAATTTATTCTAAATAAATGTCTTCTGTAGGAGCTCTATATTCCATATACGATTCGTAAAACGATTTAAAGCATTCTCTATTGCAAGTAATAATGCAGAAAAATAAAAAGCAAATAAACTGTAAATATAATAAACAGTAAAAAAGAAAAAAATTTAATTTGGAAGATTTTAATGAAAAACAAGTATTTTGACAATTTTCAAATATATAAAAAGAAAGGACTTAAAGATATAAAAAAATTATTCAAATTTGCATGAATGTATTTTATTATAAACAACTCTTAAAATTAGAATTTTTATTATAAAAACTTTTTAAAAGGTTACCCGAAATTTATAAATAATAGTAATGATCACTAAAGATATTCTATTAAAGTCAGACCATATTTACATACATTTATAATATGGTTACTTAAATCACATAGATTACCTAGTGAAACATCAGCACTATTATCTAATGGATTATAGAGATATTGATACTTTAAAATGAGCATGTTTAGAAGATATTCTTGTCTTTTAGCCATCTGGATGTTATTTTATTCTAAGGGCTGTGGCGCGGCCTTAGGGGCTAAGATTGGCAACAGAGGTAAGTTGACGAATTCAACTATCCTAATTTTATCTTTCATTCAAGTATAGTAAGGATTCACACATGCGCATAGGAGATATCAAAGTTTATGTATTTTTTGGACAAAAAAGTAAATTTTAAAACATCGCTTCTTTTTTTTGTTACAAAAATAATCGTGTGAAAAAAAAATGTGCGGAGAGAAAAACTAGATAAAAGTTTTTAGAGCATGCAGGGACAGATACAGTAAAATGATGCAACTTTGCTGAATGAGTCAAGCGAAAATTAGTTTTGGTTGATGAAACTAGAAATGATAGTTTTTTTAAGCAGCAACATGGCCTACTTAAATTACACGGCCTGATTTGTTGCATTTTCCGTAAAAAATTAAGAGGCCAGTTTTTTTACGGCTCAAATATAAAAACTTCATTTTTGTTATGGTTAAGAGTCTTGTTTGCACTATAGTTGTTTTATCTTTATTTTATTCAAATGGTTTAATAATAGTTAGATTTTCTTTGAGAACTTACATTATTTTGTGCTAGATTTTTTGTTAACTGATTGCCTGCTTCAGTTTATTCCAATAACAAAGAATACTGAAATAGGCTTTCAGATAGCTATATTAACACAAACCAACATGCAACTAAAAATAATCATATTGCTAAAACTACTCACAATTCTCTATTGGAAATAATTTTAAAGATTTGTAATTTTGTATTTAATATAATTGCAATTGCTAAGTAGAAAACATAAACTTTTCTTCAAAATATTTACACTGCAAAACAAGGTTTTCCAATATAAATACTTTATTATGCTGGATGTCTCAAACATACAGTAATTAAAATGCAATAAATCAGGCCATTTATTTACATTAGGCAAGAAATATCAGGCATACCAACTGTTTTGGAGTCAAAAGCTGTTAATTAATTTCTAATTTTTTTCATTGCCAAATAAATGCTTATCATATTTCTTTATTTAAATGATTTCGCAGTGGTGAAAATTACAAATTAAAAAATTATAATATATTAGAAAAATCATTATTTGCTTCTTGTGGGTTAGATGTACTTCCAAAAAGCAGCCCAATACCAAAGTGGTAAACGATTTGATGAAGATTGAGAAAATAATCTTTTTAAAAAAGTTTTTAAGAAGTTTTTTGTTTTTATGATTGTAGGGCTTCAAAAATTTATTCTTATGTTTTGAAATCCTCATCTAAAGTTTACATAACTGGTTTATGTTTGAAAAAAGAAAATGATGAGTATATTACCTCAATGCACCAATCTGAACTCAAGATAAGAGCTGTTGTTACCGATAACCATTCTACAAATGTTAATGCATTTTGTAGTTTAATAAAGCATATACTGGAGATGGAAAAGTATTAATTTATCATTTAGTTTAGAAAAGGAGTGTTTAAAACATACTTGTTATTCTCGTTTTTTGTTTTTTTCTTCTTGTTGAAGTTACTGCTGATTACATTACAGGGAATATATTTCTTAAAGTTTATTAAAAGATCAATTATTAAACAGGCAAGAAAAACCAATAAAAATTAATTATCAAGTCACATATTTTGGAAACAACAAACAAGTTGTCAACATTGAAAATATTTGACGAAACAACTGCAGCTGTAATTTAGAGTTATTTTTCTGAAAGAAATAACGCAGCACAATTTTTATCATTGTTTTATAAGTTATTTATCATACTTAATTCAAAGCAGAAACTTAATTCATCCAATCAAACTCAGCAGTGTTGCTTTGAAAGGTGATAACAAACCCACACTTTATAGAGAAATTGCAAATTGTACTGAAATTTGATCAAAATAAAATTTGATAAATACTTTACATTAACCAAACAAACTTCTTGTGCTCTAATTACAACACTAAAAGTAATTATATTTCTTATGCATGATTTCTTTAAAGAAGGCTTTACATTTGTTTATAGTTCTAATTTACAAAGTTATTCTTTAAAGCTAGGTTTTAGTAAGTATAGTTAAATGACCAGTAGTAGACTTTTTGTGAGTCTTTTAGAAATATGCATTAGTAAAAAGATTTTGGCAGATTTTCTCAGAAAATATTTATCAGAATTTTGATAATCCTTAAAAAATATTATGCAAAATATTTCTTAGTTGTCTACATAAATACTACTGTCAGCTTTCTGAAGATAGCACAGATATATATACTAAAGCAAGTAATAATGGTAAAAATTAACAAAAAGATTTTAATTTAAAACTTATGATCAATAAACGTTACTTTATAAAGAGAAGAACCTATATATTTAATTCAACCTCTGTCTAATTTTATTTGTCATCTTTTTAGTATTTTATGTTATTTCTCTAATGAAACATTGCAGTCATTCTTTTTCAATTAAAAATTTGTGAAACAAGTTTTAAAGATTTGATCTAGGAGTTTTAATTTTACAAATAAAAACCACCAAATATGGGGAATCAAATATAGATTTCGTATTGTTAACAATATTTTTTATAATAAAAAATTACATATTCATTGAGAAAAGATCGAGTAGAAGAATTCCAAAAAAGACAATGACAAAATAAACATTTCTAACAAAATTTCTTCTTTTAATTTCAATTATAAAAAATACAAAAGTACAAACTTTTTTTTTGTTCAATAAAGAGTTTTAGGCAATCTTAGCAACGTGAAAGATTATTTTTAGTAGCATGTTGGTATGCGTTGATATAGTTATCTGAAAGCCTATTTCAGTATTCTGTGTTGTTGGAATAAACTGAAGCAGGCAATCAGTAAACAGAAAATCCAGCACAAAATAATGTAAGTACTCAAAGAAAATCTAACTATTATTAAACCATTTTAATAAAATAAAAATAAAACAATTATAGTGCAAACAAGACTCTTAATCATAACATGAAGTTTTTTATACTTGAGCCGTAAAAAAACTGGCCTCTTAATTTTTTACGGAAAATGCAACAAATCAGGCCGTGTAATTCAAGTAGGCCATGGCAGCAACCATGATAGTATTTGTAAAAAAGAGAAAGAGATGCAACTTTACAACGATGGGAGACTCAAGCGTGGCAGATAAAGCAGGTACAACGACGTTTACAATGTGTTTTTGATCCTTGTCTAGAAGAGAAAGAGCATTATTAGAAGAACAAGCCCAAATAAAACAAAAATGTTCCATACAGGGACGAATAAGATATTTGTAGAGGTAGAGAATGGAATCAGGTGTAAGATAATGGCAAGCAAGATAAAAAGAAGCAACCTTAACTGATGCTAACTTTGCATCAATTGTATATATGATTTCAATGAGAGATTCGTAGCGAATCATAATCCAACAAGAAGTAAAAAAAAAAGGGACAAAGTGAGAGGGTTGCCATTCATTAATATAAATATGTTAAAAGTTTTGTGATAATTGTTTGCAGTAAATTGTTAAAGTTGTAAACTGCTGTTAAAGTTGAAATTCATGAGCCACTGCAAGCCTTATTCTGTTACAGAAGTGAGATCAGATTCAAGATTGGCTGCTTGTTATAAGCAATCAAAAAGAGAAGACTTTTTGTCAAGACAGGAGTATAAATTTGAGTTGCCATCAAATAGAAACACTTTAGATATAAGGTTGTCAAGAAGATCATTAATAAAATGAAAAAACAAGGATATGATGACAAAACAAGAATAAAACCTTGAGGTACCCCAGAAGTTACTGGAAATGAAGTGTTGACCTTCAAGGATAACTTTAATAAAGAAATGTTTTGATTATCTCAAAATTTTCCCATATATATCATATGAAGCAAGCTTATTTTGAAGACAGTATGATAAACTTTATCGAAAGCTTTAGATAGTCAAGAGCAATATCTAGCACCCTCCCTTTGCCGCCTCTATCTAATACACAATAGAATCTTTCAGTCACAGCAGTTAGCAAGTCAGTCATAGAATGAGAAGATCGAAAACCATATTGATTGACAGAAGGTAAGTTAATAGACACAAAATGGAAGAAATTTAAATACAACAACAACAAAATTTATTAAACAGACCCTTAAAAAGATTTAAAATACAGAAAAATGAATAAACGAAGAAAAAATCCTATATAAAAGTTAACCTCAAAAAATGAGAAAAGAAGAATATTTACAATTTCTGGTTTGATTTTTGTTACTACATAATTACAACATAGCTTACAAACATAGCTCAAGTTAAACATACAGCAGCAGCAAAAAATTTATTAAAGACAAAAAACTGTTTCTATTGAGAAGTTAAGCTAGATTCAAAAATTATTTAAAAAATCATGATGAGAACAACTGGCATAGTTCAAAAACTAATATTACCCAATTGCATTTAAGTTAGTTATTACTAAATACCAAATAAATTTTCAGTTCATCACAATTGAGCACTGCCATTACTGCATTAGTGGTTAGCACAAAAGCAATTTATTTTTATTATACAATAAAAAGCAATGAAAAACTGCATTGAACCCTACGTAATTTTTTGGATAAAAATCAACGCGCAATAAATTGTGTTAAAAGAACTTCACACAATATTGAATAAGAAACAAATTTTAAATACATTTGTGAAAAGAAGTCTCTTAAACAAAAACACTTCTCCCTCTTTATTCATATAAGCAAATTGTCACTTCAATCATTAAATTCTAGCTGCGTAAGTCCTTTTAACAAGCCGAGCAACGCCTTTTAGCACTTTTAAAACATCTTTCTCTTTATAAAATGTACTAAAATAAATAAACTTTTTTTTTGTATTTATAAATGAAGTAAAAGCTATTTAATTTGAATCTGGATTTTTTGCAATTTTTATAATAACCATGATAGCAAAAATAACAATAAGTATAACATTTAATTGCTAAAATAAATTTCTATAAATTATCAAAAAATTTGATAATAATATCTAATAAACAGAAAATTTTGGAAAAAATTGAATTATGTGGCGAGAATAACAATAAAAACACAATTTAATCGTAACCGCTGCGATTTTTTGTGTTAGTACAAAATGTTTCAATTACTTAACGGGTGTTCTTAATTGTAAAAATTGCAATTACCTAATTAAATAACTCCATCTTAACTAATAGTCTACAATGTCTTATATAAAAATTGTTATCAAATTTACTGCATAACCGCATTGCAATAAAGCTGGTCCTTAATTAAAATAAAATATTACAAATATGTGTTGCAATAATATGTAGTAATAATATGTAGTAATACTATGTAGTAATAATATGTAGTAATAATATGTAGTAATAATATGTAGTTACAATGTATATGTACAATATATGTGCAATAATAATAATATGTATTAATAATATGTAGTTACAAAATCCTATATAAGTATAATTTTTGTTTTGTTTTGTTCATAAAAAGTAATAGGGAGCTTGAGAGGAAGTAGTTGGGAGACAAAGGTGAACCCAGGAAAATGAAAATGTTTGTTTTTTATTTTCGGGGGTTCAAATAAAACATTTCAGTTGTATAGACATAAGTTAACAAAGATTTTGAATAATTTTAGAAGCAAACAGAGTAATAAAATAATAACACAGAAAGGTTAATAAAAAAGGACACATAGGGAGGCTCAAATTTCTAAAGTAACTTCTAAAAAATTATGTTTCCAACCTATTACAATTATTTTAAATATAAATTTCTTAACTTAATACCATTAAAATTTTTCAATAACCAACTTCAAAATGAGTGAATGACTTGTTGTTTGGAAGCATGGAATTAAAAAAAAAATTTAATTGCAAGCAATTAAAAAAAATCTTACCCTAAGATATGACATATAGAATCAGTAGAAAACTTAGACATAAATACATGGCAAGCAAATCTATGTTCATCAGGATGTTTAGTTATAAAACCAAAATATCTATAAAAAAAAAAAATTAAAAAGTTGCATATTTTTAGTTTACAAAAAAAAAACAATGTATATATTTCCATTACCTTCAGTAATATATTTTTATTATGTCCATTGTTATTTGGAAATCTTAGATAAAAAGTTTAAAAAAAGACTTCTAGGTTTACCATCATATGTTTATCATTTTTAACTATATTCTGAAGTCTTAAGATAAATGTTTATTAAATTCTGAACTTCATATTTAAAAAATTGACGAATCCTGAAAGTTTTATTATATAAAAATTAATATTAACTATATTTATTATCATAATCAGGAACTTTAGATTCCAGATTTAAATTCAAAAAAGATAAATTCCATAACTCCAAACTTTTTTTATCTTTATGAATTTTAATGTTTTTTAATTATAGAATTTTCAATTCAAAACGTTAGCCTCATTTAGGACTTCCCATCTCCACACAACTATGGTTACATCACAAAAAAATAGTCATAACTTAAGTATTTTTAAGAACTCAAGGAAAATAACATATTTTTAGTTTTATCTTTTAGCTCAAAAGTTTTACAATGATAATGGAGTGATGTTGGTTCCGAAAAAGATGAATCCTCTAAACTGCCCCAAATTACGTCCTATTGAAAAATATCGGGCCATCATAAAAAAGAAATTGAAATTAAAAGGAAAAACAGTAAAATCAGCTACAGATTTGAAGAAAAAATGGGATTACGCTGCTAAAACTTACAAAAAATCACTCTGTCCAGAATCTTATGGAAGGCATCAAAAAGAAAGTCAGAATTTTCTGTAAAACTTATTTTTGTTTTTTCCCTATTAATATGTAATCTTTACGGTCTTAATTTTTCAGAAATATATTCATTTAAATACATTTAAGCTTTCTTACATCCTTTTTTGATCAAGAAAGGTGGGCAGATTTTTCCGACAGCATGTCTTATCATTTATATATCATATCACTACCTACATAAAACTGATTTTAGAATATTACCTTTCAGTTTGGTCACCAAACCGCACTAAAATGAAGAAAGCAGTGGAATGAGTGCAAAAGATGTTTTACCAAGAGAATAGCTAACCTAAATAACTTTTTATATTTTAATAGACTTATGATTCTTGGTTTGGAACTACAAGAAAATCGTTGTCTTAAAATATGATCACAAGTTACAAAAGTCTAAACAATTTAGTTTGCCTAAATAAATCAAGTTTCTTATTAATAAACAACTATATTTACACTCAAGGTCACAAATTTAAATTATGCAAACTAGTGTAAACTCGATGTCTCTAATACTCTTTCTTACTCAGAGTTGTTAATATTAGGAATAACTTGCCATCTGAGGTCGTTAATGCCTAAAATATCAAGAGCTCTAAAATTAAAATTAATTCTATCAACTTTGAAAAATACTGTTTAGGCTAACTAATTTTTGTTTTATAACTGTGGTCTTATATATAATATATATATATACATATATATATATATATATATATATAGATATATATATATATATATATATATTGTAAACTAGCACCTGTATTATGTGATTGTAGGACACATTGTCCAAGTCCTTCATATTTTATGAACCTGCATGTCCTTTAGATACTTTATGTATAATTGTTTTAATAAATTTTTATCCAATCTAATCAAAGACTTTTTATAGTTTTTTTTTATACTTTATCTATCATATTTTTTCCTAGTTTATTTCTTATCAATCATATTTTTTTAGTTTAACTTTTATCTAGTATACATTTCATAGTAGGATGTTTTAAAAAATAACTTAGAATATATCCTAATAAAAAATTAAGCTTGGAATATATCCTGGTTATATATAAAAAAAAAAAAACTTTAGCAAATATAAAGGTTTAGAGACCCTTAAAAGTGTGTGTAAGGGTCCAAAATTCTATATTTCATGTTTAACCGGTTATTCTTGATTAATTTTTTGAGAAAAGTTTAAAAAACAATTCAGTTTTTGCTAATTTTTTATTGTTGACCTTCTACTTCTATTTTTAAAATTTAAAGATATAAAAAATAAAAGTCTTTGCAAAAGTTTCTTTGCATATAAAGTTATGCAACTTTTCTTTCAAATTTATGGTATTCAAATTTTGATTGGATAAATTTGATTTTTAATCGTTGCGTTTTAGAAAAAAAAGTTTAATCTGAAGGCTTTTTCTAAAAAAACGTTTTAAATAAGTAAAACGACAGATTGCTTCAAAAAAAAAGTTTTATCTGAAGTCTCTTTCTAAACAAACATAATCAAAAAGACAGATTGCTTCAAAATATCTTAATTTCCTTTTTTTTATTTTTTTTTAATCGTTATTCAAGCTATCAAGAAGGCTATTCAAGATTTCATTTTTTTTCACTTTTCTTAAATGAAGTCAAGAATAAATCTTTTTTTAAAGTGCCAGTCAGTAGAAGTTCAGTTAAATTCTAAAGTTTTAACAATTCTAAAGATAAACAGGCTAAAAGAACACTGCTACCTAAAAGGCTTTATAAAAAACAAACTGGGTGATCAAATTTTAAAATTTTCTGCTTTACCCTAAAACGAAGGGAATAGCTAATTAAAAAAAATTCTAGAAGCAGTTAATAAGTATACCTCAAAAAGGTTGAATGATTATATCATTCTTGCTAGAGTATTTTGGCAAAAGTTAGCCTCAGGACTTCAAAAAAGAGAAAAGTATTATGTGTTTGGTTGATAATGGAATATGATTAGTATTAACTTTTTAATTAAGTTGTTGCAGTTGGAAAGCTTTGAAAAAAACCCATTTAATTTCAACAGATGTATACTTAATTACGTGCAGTTTAAAAATATTTTGGAAAATTATGGTTTAGTTATTTGTCCAAAAAGTTGAAACTATGGAATATAATTGAAACCAGCTACAAAAACAAATGGATAACAATGGAAGAGCAGCAAACTTTACATCAGGTGTGCAAGATGAGTTCTGTTTTAGCTTGATTAAAGTTATAAGGGAGCCCATTTAGCTGTGAACTAGACATTATTGAAGTGGATAAAAATCTATTCTGTTTAAATACATTATTGTTGATATAAAAATACAAACCTCCATCTTATGTCTACCAAAGAACACGCTCATAACCTAGATGTTCTATAAGGAAAGCTCACGCAGCAATCTCTATCACATATGATGACTTTTATAGTTATTTTCTATTTTCAATAGTAAATAAAAAACTGTATGAATTATTTTCATATATAATGCTTAATTTTTTTTGTTACTTATAAATGATAAGGTATATTATTGATAAATAAAACAGAAAAAGATTTCTAGTTTTCTACTTTTCTTATATTTAATGATAATAATAATTTCATCTATTTTTAACAATACCTTTTTTTGTCAATATATTCACTTTTATTAAAATCGAAGTAGAAGGCTAAATAATTAAAATGAAAAAAAATGATTATGATTTTCAGAATCAGCATGAAAAACTAATTACAGGGTTATTCATTCTTATATGCGCGTCTATTCATTTTTATATGCGCCTTTATTCATTCTTATATGTGCATTTATTCATTTTTATATGCGCATTTATTCATTTTCTTATGTGCCTTTATTCATTCTTATATGTAATTTTATTATTAAATTTCTTGATTGATTAAGTTATTATTTATCTAATTATTTATTTATCTAGATTAAAATTTAATTGTTTATAATTATTATTAATATCAAATTATACATCCCTATGGATGGAATAGAAAATAGCAGTACCAATCGTAAAACAAGGAAAAATGTTACAAAAGAGCACATTGAAATGCTTAAGCATTTAATCGAAAGAAATCAATCTACAACAAGCATTTCCACTTCTCTTAATTTATCAGACCGCGCAGTTCAAAATTTACGTTAAGTTAAACAGAGGATAATTCGACGACATGACTGCATTCAAGTCATTTTCTGATAAAAAACGAGGTAAACAACCTATAAACTCTCAAATAAAAAATATTATCGAATTATGCGTACACTAAAAAAAAATCTTTGCACGCAAAAAGCAGTAAAAAAATATCATTCTGCAGCAGGCTTCAACATGTCTCCTACTATTTCAAGAAATCTCAAACGCTCAGATTCATCAAGAAAACGTGTTGTGCATGTGCCGAAGAACGAAACTCAACACCAGTTATTAATGCACGCTATGCATTTGCAAGCGAAATAAACGGAACTTCAGGTGAAAAACTTATTTATTTGGATGAAACTGGATTTAATGTGCACACTAACAGCACATATGGTTGTTTGCTAAGAGGTACGCCAGCAATTTTACAGTCACCTGCAAATTGTGGTAAAAATGTTAGTTTAATTTTTGCTGTTTCAACAATGGGAGTGCTTGCTTATGAAATAAAAACTGGAGGCTGGAATGCAGATTCATTTTGTACTTTCATAACTACAATGATGGCACCAGCGATTAGGAATGCAAAGGTTGAAGCGCCGGTGCTTGTTATGGACAATTGTAAATTCCACTGGAGTCTTTCTATTAGACAAACACTAGCCTTTCATGGTATAGCTATTAAGTATTATATTACATGGTATAGCTATTAAGTATTACAGCTATTAAGTATTGATATTAATAATAATTATAAATAATTAAATTTAAATCTAGATAAATGAATAATTAGATAAATAATAACTTAATCAATCAAGAAATTTAATAATGAAATTGCTAAGAGCTAATATTAAATTAAATAAACTATCATCGAAAACAAAGAACTAATACTAAATTTAATATACCATCATCGAATGTAAAAAGTCTTCGTTTTAAGTATTTTTAACCTCATTTACCTGTAAATAAGAAAAATTAGTTTTGAAAAAATAAACTGTTTTTTCAAAACAAATTGCTTAAATGATTTTTTTTTGTTCAAATTGCTTTTTTACAATTGCTTTTGTAAAACACATATTAGAATGAATAAAGGCGCATATAAAAATGAATAAATGCGCATATAAGAATGAATAAATGCGCATATAAGAATGAATAAATGCGCATATAAAAATGAATAAATGCGCATATAAGAATGAATA